ATAGGGAATTCTTTACGGCCCCAACCCCAAAATACTTCTCATTTCATTTCTTGTTTCCAGGTCTGTCTGGACTTTGTACAGCCAGAAGTTCCCTCATGAGCCCGTCCTTCCGGCCCCTAAGGAACCCTATTTTATTGGAAGACTGGGGATACACAGGACACCAAATGCTAGAGGTGAGAAGTCACTTTTGCTGATGAAATAAAACGCAGCAGGAACACTAACAGGAGGGTCCGAGGAGCTATGGTCAAACACGGAGACTGGATGCCAAGTTACGTCCACTCCCTCCCAAGACCTGGCTGAAATGATGTGTTTACTCCGTAGAGCAGGAACAAACCCTGCAGAACAAAGAGACGCAGGAGGACCAGCCCAGCCCGGGAGCTGCAGCCCTGCGTGGCCCGGGAAGCTGGGTGCGGAAGGCCCCAGGGCTCCCACTCCCAGGAGGGCAGGCCACGCCCCCCCACCCCAAGGACCGGAAGGACCGGTCTCAGGACAGGAGACAATGAATGGGGACTGGCCCTGTGGCGGAGGGCTCCGTGCCCTCCTGGGGACCCTGGGGCCACAGCACTCACAGAAGCCGCCCTTCAGGCAGGGCAAGGCCGTGGGCCAGGAGGAGCAGCAGGGCAGGGGAGAGCGGTGGTTCTGGGGAGCTCCCCAGGTCCCCATTTTCCCGTGGCGCCCGCAGAACACCGGGACCTCGAAAGGCCGTAGGCAGGTACCTCGGAAAGAAACACAAAATTAAGTAAAGAGGAAGCCATAGAACGTGTGCAACACTGAAAAAGCAGGAACAGCAAAGGCGAAGCCAAGGGGTTTCAGGGACGTCCCCGAGGAGCCCAGGATCCCCTGGGGACGCCGCCGGGGAGGTGCTCCGGCTCCGCGCTGCCCAGGGCATTTGTAACGTGGTGTTACACCCGCGCGTGGCACGGCCGACCCCAGAACGCCGCTTCCCTCCCTGCTCCGTAGGACCCTCCGCGGGGAGGGCCAGGTTCGTGGGAGCGGCGCCTGCCGGCGAAGGGGAAGACACGGCACTCGTGGTCTTGCTGCAGAGGCCGGACATCCCGGTTTGGACACGTGAGCGGGGCACAGAAGGACGGCCTCGCGGGGGGGCGTCCGACTGGCGAGGCTGCGTCCGTGGCCGGGATGCGCAGCCACCGAGGCGCTGGCTGTCGTCTCGAAGTGCCCGGCCGGGGAGGAGCGTTGACGTCGTGCATGGCGCCATGCGCTTCCGTGGGTGGCACGGGGCTGGGCTGGGCTTGGGAACGAGGACGCGGGGCCCGCTCTGCCCTCACCGGCCGGCTCTCTGGCAGGGGGACCGGCTGCCAGCGGGGACAGCAGCCGCGCGCCGCAGGAGCTCGCGCGGCCGGTTCAGTGCCCGCCGCCCTCGCTACAGAAGCCCCTCCCGAGTGACAGGCTTCCCCGCGAGTCTCTGTGGCCTGACGCCTCAGTGGGACGGGCACCGGACGCTCCGCCGAGACAGAGCCACTGGGGCCGGACACGCGGGCGTCCCCTCAGTCCTGGGGCCGGACACAGGTGGCCCCTTCCCAGGACAGTTCCGGCTCCCCAGCTGTTTGGTTTTCCGAACTCCTTCTGGGCAGTCGCGTGGGGGAGGGGCAGGGGGCCGGGCGCCCACTGGACACCAAACTCTGTCCACACGGAGTCGGACCCCCGCCGCTGTCTCCGGGCCGCAGGTGCCCTCGCGGGGCGGACATGGGGAGTCCGGTGACCCGCCAGGCCTCTCGTTCCACGGGGGCGGGAAGCGAACCTGCAGGGAGGAGGCGCCCGAGCAAAACTGGAGCAACCGCTGCGACCGCTAGCTCACCCGGGGAGGCCAGGCCCCCGCAGACGGAAGGGGCTGCGTCCTGGGACACATTCACCTGTGCGCCGGGGGTGGGGGAGGTCTCCCCTGAGGGCGGGCCTCCCTGTGCCCTTCCAGCTGCATCGCCAGCAGGTCCTGCGCGGATGACACAGGCCGAGCCATGTCCGCTGTCCCTGCCGCCTGTCAGTGCTCGTGGAGAGCAGGCGGCTGCGGGGCCCCGAGGGGACAGCCCCGGGGGGTCGCCCCAAGTTACAGAGGAAGAGACGAGCGCAGAGCAGGGGGCCCGGCACCAACACAGGCAGGGGTTGGGGGGCTGAGGGCAGGGGCAGCCGCCTGGTGACTCAGGACCGAGGGCTGTTCCTGCCCCCCGCCCCCCTCCCCGGCCGTAAAGGCCTTCGGGGTTCTTGTTACTGGGGACACACTTTCCTCCCCTGCTCCTGCAGTTGAACTGGCAGCTGCTGACTCTATGCTGAGACACCTGTGCCCACGACTGTCTGCTTCCTGAGCTCTGAGAAAACGGGGTCACGCTCGCCCTGTGACACAGTTTGTGGGGTGCGCGAGGCCTGGCTGCAGAAACGGTTCACAGGTGCTTCAGCCGTGCGGCTTCCTAACTGAGGCTGAGGCCCCCACCCCGCAGCTCATCAGGCATAAGGACGCCCCTCTCCAGGGCGCCTTCCGTTTCCGCAGGGACGGAAGCCGCGGGCGGCGTCCCTTAGCGCTGGTGCCTGGACTTCCCTCCTGCTGCCCGAGGGAGGGGGCCCCTGGCACGAGGTCAGGAGCGCCAGACACCTGCGGGGGGGCTGCCCAGTCTGCAGGCAGGACGTCAGACCCTGCAGAGCAGGGCCGGCCCCCCAGGGCCCGGACGGGGATGCGAAGGCCCCTGGGGCGGGGGGCAGCAGCCCCTCCTCGCTGCCTCACGGGTGCGCCCCGCTCGGCCGCGCGGACAGGGCGGCGCGTGCTGGGGACGCTGCGGCGGGACTGTGTCCTCACCACGGGGCTGCGCCGCCCGTATCGGGCAAGGGAAGCAAACTCCGGCCTTTCACGGGCCGACCCCCGGGAGCCGGGCTGGGAGTCGGGGACACGCCGCTCTTTGGTCAGGAGGGGCAGGGACAGTGTCTCCCTGGCCTGCCTGTGACCAGGCCCCTTGACCGCGCCAAGGACGGGCCCTGCCTCTCCGGGTTAGGGCTGCCTTCCCGTCGTCCAAAGGGGGCGAGGTTCCTGCTGGGCCAGCTCAGCCGGGCCTCCCGGGCCCTTCAATCTGACTGCGCCCCTCCTCCCCAGGCGAGGTCTGCGCCCTCGGCGAGGGTCCTTCAGGGCGGTTTAGCGGGAGCCCTGCCGTGGTCGGAATGGCGGGGTCCCCCCCCCCCGCCCCGTCCCAGTCGCATCTCGACTCCTAGCCCCAAGGGGCTGGCCCGGCCCCATCTCCGCGAGCTGTCCTGAGACACCGGAGGGGGCGGGGGCGGGGGCGGGGGCGGGGCACCTGCCGCTGCAGGCACTTCTAACCCGCCCATGTCGTGACCGAGCAGGAGGCCGTGAGCTGGACCAGAGCCACGGGGCGCAGCAGTGAGGACACCCGGCCGGGGGCCGAGCGGAGGACAACACAGCGTCCACCGCCTGCCACACCGGTGCGAGGAGCCAGGCGGCCCCTTTGCCAGGAGACCCGGCACTTCTGGTTTTGCCAGGGACCTGCCGGCCTAGCTGTGCGCTCGCAGCAGGCGCGTCTGTTGGAGGACGGGCGTCACCGGGCAGGCCTTGCAGGGACCGCATGGCACCCCGCGCCCAGCTCCGCCCAGGGCTGCGGCGCCACAGCGCCACTCGGACGGGGCGGCGCCTCCTGTCCTCGGCAGCCCTCCTCCACGGCCCGGCGGGCGCATGCCAGCACCTTGCCAGTGGCCCGCGCACAGAGGTGCGTCAGGCGGCGCGCGGGCGCCGTGGGCCCACTTGCTCTGGCGTCTCCACTGCGACACGCGATGTGGGGGGCGGCGGGGGGGGGGGACGACCGATGTAGCTGAAAACGTCAAGCCTCCGGGCCTGCGCACGCGGAGACCGGCCGCCGCAGCCGCGTCCGAGACGGCGCGCGCGCAGTGCCGGGGGCAGCACCGAGAGACAGGAGCGGACACCGTTGTGGGCGCCTCGGGACGGGCCACTTTATTTTACTTTGTTAAACGTCGGCCTGCTGCACAGCCGGGCCCCTCCCCACCCCCGCCTGCCCCCAGGGCCCGGAAGCGCAGGGGGGGGGGGGGCCCAGGGCACACTCGGCCGGGCAGGAAGGTGTAAGCTGCGACTCGGGTGCGATAAATAGGGGCTACGTAATCGGTCAAGGGCAGGGAGGGTTCAGCACGAGGCGGTGCTCTTGGGGTCCGGGCTCCCTGACAGCCGCAGGCCCCGGGGTTCCACCGCCACCAAGCGTCTGTGAACACTTCAAAGGTTCTTTCGATAAAAACAAACTTTTGACTTTAGTTGCACACTCGTGGCAAGAATACAATGTTTGTACACCCGTCAGTTAAGATTGCTGGGTGGGTGTGTGAAGTCCGCCCGGGCCTGGCCCCTGGCAGCCCAGGAAAGCGGGGGCTGGGGACCAGGGCCACAGCCCGGCACCGGGCGGGCGGGCCTGCGCCTCAGCCCGGGGGGAGCTGCCCCCCTCCCTGGCCTTGGAATCCGCAGAGAAACCGGCCGAGCAGGGGGTGTGATTCGGGTGCCCGTTGGCCACTTAAGCCAGTTGAAATGGCTCTGAAATGTAGACAGTGCTGGTGAGTGAGCGTCGTCCTTGTTTGTTAACTGAGCAACGCGAGGAGACAGGCCTGTTTGCCAAGACTTCCCGTCTCCTCCCCACGTTCCCACGGGGCCCGTGGTTTCCAGGGTGGCTGTTCCCGCATGAGGCTCCCCCCGCCCCCAGCCACGGGGCGGGCGCTGCTGCAGCGGCCTGAACCCTCCCGCCTGGGAGATCCCGACAGGTGACCCTCACAGGGGCGTCTTCCCGAGGGCAGCTCTCTCCAGCCAACAGGAAGACGGTTCCGGAACAAGATGCGGCAGCGGAAGGCCTGACTGGCACGGACCCAGCCGGCCTGACCACACCCGCGGGCGGCGTCTCCGCCGTCCAGGCGGCCGGGCCCCGGGCACCGCAGCAGGCGAGGCCGCGAGGCCGTGGGGCCGGACTGCCCGCCCCCTGCGGGACGAGCCGGGGGCCACGCAGCAGGCCGGCCGGGGTTCACTCGGCGGCACCGACACGGGCGCTCTGGGCAGGGGGAGCGGCCCGGACCCCAAGGTGCGCGGCGGCTGCTGGGAGACTCACGGCAGAGCACCAGCGAGCCAGGCTCTCGGACCCAGCGCCGGACTCGCGGCGCTCGCTGCCGCTGCGCCACTGCCGGTGAAGGGGGGCCGTGCGCCCCGCCCCGAGCGGCTACTGCGCCTTCTTCTGGGGCCCCTGGCCGTTGGCCCTGGGGGGCGCGAAGTTCCAGTCCACCGGGTGGAGAAGCTGCTGCGTCTTCTTGTGGGTCCAGTAGGGGTTGAGGACGAGGGTCAGCAGGCCGAGCCCACAGAGGAAGAGCGCCAGGTGCGGGGGGTACAGGCTGCGGCACAGCCCCTCCCAGTGCCGCAGGCAGACCCACCACATGTGGTAGCTGAGCACCATGCGGCAGTGGAACATGTGGATCATGAGCCACTGGTTCGCCTTCCAGAACAGCGAGTCGGACCAGCCGGCCTGCGGGGACACAACACGGGCCGTCAGCACGGCGACCTCCCGGGCGCCGGTGGCCCCTGCCCAGCTCCGCGCCCGGCCCCGCTCGGGAGGAAGGCCCTCGGCCCCCCTGCGCCTGCTGCTCGGAGCAGCCCGTGGCCCCGCGCGCCCTGTGCGGGACCCGGGAGGCCGGCTGGGCTTGCCGTCCCAGCCCCCAGGCCTCAGCCGCAGACAAGCCGCAGACGCAGACACGCAGGGCGAGAGGCGTGTCCCAGAGTGTGCTTTCCGGCCCTTTCACCCCGGAGCCCGTGACACCAGCCAAAATGAGCTTGCCTTAAAATTACTCTCAACTCAAGTTACCTGAGTTTCCAACAGCTGCAGCTAGATCTGCAAAGGCGCCTTGGAGAGAAGGTGCCCCCCACCTCCCCGCCGCGAGGCCGGGGTTCCCAGGGACCGAGGGGCCACGGGGAGACGCCAGCCAAGGCGCCCTCAGACCCGGGGACCGCGGTCTGGATGCTGTCGCCCACCCCACGGCCCTGGGCGCCGGCTGAGTGGGGCCGACCGCGGGCCTCAGGCTCAACGGAAAGTACGGAACAGCATCGTGTTTTCAAACGATAGGCACGTAGACACACATACGACTTTAGCTTTTTAAAAAAGCATTTGAAAAAAGGGAAAAAGCAGCTTCCTAGGGCTCACAAGGGCTGTCCCCAGAGCCACAGGACCTGCTGCTGCTGCCGTGCCCTCAGACTGGGAGCCTGACCGTGTGTTTCAAGTGGACTCAGTGGAATTCAGCCGCAGTGGGTCTGTCGCTGCTGCCGTGTGCAGCCACTTCACCTACTGGTGGCTTCCTCTCTTTATTTATTTTCTTAATCCTCAGCCAAGGGTATGTGTACTGATTTTAGAGAGACGGGACGGGGCGGGGTGGGGGAGAAGCATCGCCTGGCTGCCACCTGCACGTGCCCTGCCTGGGGGTCGAACGCGCAACCTGGGCACGTGCCGTGAGCGGGGACGTCTGGTGCCCAGGACGGCGCTCCCGGCGACTGCGCCACGGCCGGGGCCGCCTGCCGAGGGCCCCAGGCCTGTGAGGAGCCCGCGGCCTGGGAGGGGGCCCCCCCGCCACCGCGGCCATGCGGCAGGAGCCGCCCACAGCGTGGCGCCCGCTCACCTTCAGGAGCATCCAGGACGCGCAGGTGAAGGGCGTGCTCATCTCCAGCAGCAAGGTGGCCATGGCCAGGTAGTGGCCAGCGTGGACGTTGGCCGTTAGCCCGAGGAATCCCAGGAAGGCGAAGAGGTGGTGGACGGCCAGGAACAAGTCAAAGGTCCGGAAGCGCAGGTTGGACAGGTGCAGGGCCGCGTTCTCAAAGAAGAAGAAGCCGGTGGCCGTGGTGACGTGGAACCAGGACCAGCTCTGCTGGGCGTGCGCCTTGTCGGCGGGCAGGACGGGGTCCACCAGCAGTGCCCACAGGCCCGCCGCCGTGCCCTGGACCCCGAAGACCGCCCGGGTGGCCGCCAGGTCCCAGAAGACCTTCTCCTTGGCCGCCAGGGCGCGGTAGGTGGCGTTCAGGGAGGAGGACAGCTGGTGGCACACGACGAAGACGCCCAGGTAGAAGGCGAAGCCGGCGACCGCCAGGGTCGAGCGGACCTGCCAGGAGGCGTAGTCCAGGTCGAAGATGCCCTCCAGCACCCCCGGGCCTCGCGCGGGGTCCATCGTCCTAACTGTGCTGGCAGGGGCGCCCCACAGCCACCACTGGGCTTGGGGGGCCCCCGCGGCGTCTCGTCCAGGGAAACGACGTCCGCGCAGTGGCCTCTCGGACCCTCACGCACCCGCCTGCGACCTGAGGAAGGAGCAGAAGGAGAGCTCACTTGACGGAGGCTGAACAGGCGCTGGGGCGGCACATGACCCAGGTCCACGGCGCCTCCTGGTCCAGAAGGGCTTTAGTTACTAACTTCACTCGTACGCATACTTGCAGACACCTAAACGCAGCCAGACATCCTCAGTCACACAGGAGGAAAGCCATCAGCCCCAGGCGCACCCCTGCCCGCCCCTGAGCGCAGGCGTCCGCGCGCGCGCCTCACCCGGGGCCACCGTCCGGCGACCGTCGTGCTGGAAGGCAAGCCGGACAGGCACTCTGCAGGCAGGCGCTCCGGCCCGCGGGGCGAAGCTGCTGGCGGAACCAGGCTCCGCCGCAGACCACGGACGGACGGACCCAAGCTCTCGAAGTCTGGGTGGCCGCTCTCTCTCTAACCACGAAACCGGCCCCTCAATTGGCCCACGGAAGGCGACCCAGCCCAGCGCCACGGGGACAGTTGACGGGGACCTTGTTTCAGAAGCTCATTTCTCCGGCTCCCAACGGTCACCCGTGTCCGGGAAAACCCTGGGGACGTACTCACCCCCCACGCAATCGGCTCTGACACACCAGTCGGCAACAACATGAAAACGGAAGCTGTCCTGTCCTGGCCCGTCCTGCAGAGCAACGTGGCCGCCCCGCCCGCGGCCGCACTGCCTGCCTCGGGTCGCCTTTCTTTCTCGTGTGTGACCGATGCGTGTTACTGTTACCTTCTCGTGTGATTTTCGTTGCCATTACAACCAAAGCACAACTTATTCCCACAGGTGTGACAAGTCTGGTGACGTGGACTGGCTTCACGTTTCATTCCAAAGCTCAGCAGGCGCTGCTGCCTTCCCGGGCGGCCGCCCTGTCTGCCCCCCACCCCGCTGCGGAAGATGGTGCAGCCGCACGGAGCTTCCCCGGCTCTGGGCTCCGCGGCTCCCGCGTCTCCCTGCTCCGGGCCGGACTCAGGGCCCTCAGGAGCCCGCCCCTCACACTGCGCTCCAGCCTCGCTGGGCCGTCCAGGGTCCGAGAGCGCCGGGTTCGCCCTAGCGGGGCCCTCCCAGCGTGGGTCTGGTCTCCCAGCAGTGGGGCTGGAAACTGCCCAGGGCAGGCTGCGGCTGTGGAGCAGGGGGCGAGAAACGTGCGCCCCGGGACACACGAGGGTCCCACAGCGGGTGAAGAAACAATGTAAGAAGCCCGCAGAAGCCCTGGAGAAACTGCTGCCAAGGAGGCAGGTGCCAAGGGATCCAGGCAGCTAAGAAAATTACGCAAACTCCCCCCGAGGCTGGCTGTGGCGTGAGCTCAGAGACAGCCTGGCGGTCCGAGCGGTCACGCCGCCCAGGAGGAGACGCCCACAGGGGGTCCTCGGCCCCCAGGACCTCAGCGCCCTCAGCTCAGTGGCCCTCTCCCACCCCCTGACCGCTCCTCTGCGCTCCGCTCCTGCCGGGCTCTCCACCAACGGGCAGTTCTCCTCGCTGCCGGCCTGGGAACCACATTTCCAGCGTCCTGAGGATTAAACTTGGACAGCTGTTAACAGTGTTTCTTCCCCAAAGAAACACGTGCTCAGGGAACAACGGTCAGAAAGCAAAAGCCAACATCTAAACGGAACAGAAACACCTGTGATCGCCCCGGCTCTAAGCTCTGTCCCTGTATTCCGCCACCTGCCCGGTCCTTTGCTTTCCTAAATGGCAACTGTCACCTTCGGCAGGGGAAGGCGTCCGCGGACACACGCCGCCTTGCAGGCCTCCAGGGCGAGGCTGCTCCCTGAAGCCTCGGGCCAGCGACCCCGCAGGCAGAGACCCCGGCGGGGGCGGCCCCGGCACTTTCTTACTCTCGTCCCAGGTGTGTCCCCAGCGTCCCCGTATCCGTGCTGGGCAGCGAAGGTACCGAGGCCGCCTAGACTCCCGCCGTCCCGGCCGCAGCTGCTCGGGAGACCGCCTCTAGGGGGCGCTGTTCCCCTGCGGGGGCCCCTCGGCCAGCGGCCGCCACCGGCGCAGGAGGACCAGCCGCACTCCCGTCCCTCCGTCCAGCCGGCAACCCCCCGAGCCCTCGCCCCCCTGCCCCGGTCCTGTAGCCCGGAACCCCGACCCGACCTCCCAGAGCCCGGACCCACCGAACTCCCCCGCCACCCCGCCGCGGCCCACATCGCCGGACCCCGCTTCGGCCCCCAAACCCGGACCCCCCTGACACCTGCGTCCCGGGCCCGCGCGGCGGCCCATCTGCAGACGCGGCGGCCGTACGGTCCCGACCGCGCCGCCGCGCGGTTCCAGTTGGGAGGGGCGTCCTCCGGGGTCGCGGCCCCTGGACCACACGGCCTTGCGGGGCGGGAGGGGGCGCCGGACGGGACCTGGGCGCAAACCGCTCGCACCCGCGCCCACTGCGCGCGCCCCCGGCTGGCCCACTGCAAACCCGCCCTGCGTCCCCACCTGCGCGCGCCTCGTCCAGCAGACGCCGACCACACGACCACCGTCCCCGACCGGCATCTGTCACCTGGCCCCTGCCCCGCCCACGCCAGGCCCTCCAGGACAGCAGCCTTCACGACCCCGCCGCAGACGCGGTCGCGCATGCGCGACGTCGGTGGGCGGGACCTGCGCGCGGCGGCCGGAACTATTGGCGCGGGGCGGGGAGCGGTGGCTCCGCGGGCGAAACCACCGGCGCGGGGCGGTGGACGCCTCCTGTGCGGCTCGCCGCGCTGCCTGCTGGGGCCTCTCTAGGGGCGCGCGGGACGCACAGTCCTGCCGTGGGCTGATCATCGAGAACCCTGTGCTCTGCCTGGAAGGGGTCGTCGGAGCGGACCCCACAGTTGCCCAGGGAGCGCACTGACCCCAGCGCCCCGCAACCTCGGCCTGTCGTCCCAGCAGGGCTGGAGCCGGCCCCGCGGAGACCCCCTGGTGACATCTCGCTGAGCCCCGCGGAGCGCGCGCTGGGACCCGGGGAAGCCCAAGGCCCAGCTGCGCGCAGGGCTGTCCCGGCCCCACGGGGACCGCAGCGACTCGGCCTGCAGCCGGGTCAACGCCGGCGGCCAGCGGGGGCCGCAAACCCTGGGGGTGCCTGAGCGCTCAAGCGCGAGTTTCACTTCCCAGGAGACGCCGGGGCTCAGGCAAACGGCCCAAGCGCTCCGAGCGCCGGTTTCTACTCCGCGGCCGCTTGGCAGCAGCCTCGCCCCGAAGCTGAGGGCGCAAGGCCCCTGAGAAGGCGCTAGGCGGGGCCCCGAGAGCGCGTTACTCGGGCAGATGCGTGGCCTTCTCGGGCACGCGCGGACGTGCGGCCGCAGCCGCCGCCCGGCAGCTGGGCCCCGATACGGTGCAACCGCCGCCCGGCAGCTGGGGCCCCCGATAGGCCGTAGCCGCCGCCCGGCAGCGCGGGCCCCACCTGGCTTGTCAGGATCCGCAGGCGCTGAGGTGCGGGACGCGGTGCGCCCTCCGCGCGCGGCCCAGAGAATCCCATGGTGTGACGTGGGCGGCGGGCGTCCTGTTGGCAGGCAGTGCACTTTACTTAATAAAAAATAATAATTGCGACATAAGGTCGTGAACCAGCTTTATAAACTGTGAGCGGAGCTTACAGGTCAGGGGCCCCACCCGGCACCGCACGAGGTCTGGAGGGGGAGCAGGCGGCGGTGCGTGCCACCCCCACCCTAGGCCCGCCTCCTTCCCAGCGCCCCGCGTCCTGTCCCCGGGGCTTTGACTCACCGCCTGGCTGCCTGTCCCCGGGGCTTTGACTCACAGCCTGGCTGCCGCGGGCAGCCAGGAGCCTGTCCTGTCCTGCGCAGAAAAGCCTGGTTTTGGAGTCACACGTCGCTGGGCCTCCTAGCCAGGACCTCCGTGGAGGCAGGCGGCAGCCACCCCCGGAGGGGCGCTCAGACTTCTGGGCCGTTCCCGGGTGGGGTGCAGGCTCCCAGAGCAGGGCCCTGGCCCTGGAATGTCACCCCGAGCCTCCTCCCTCCTCGGGCAGCCGGCGCACTGTGGAGCTTCAGGGCTCTGTTTGGCTTTTTGGCTGTTTTTCTGTGACTCCGACTGAAATGTAAGCTGCAGGAGAGCCGGACTTGGCCTTGTCCATTTGTCCACTCCCAGCACTTAGAAAAGCCCCTGGCACACAGCCAGACCGGTGCGCGGGAGATGGGGGGGCTTTTGGGCTGAAGTGCCCTTTGCGTGCACCCCCCCCCCGCACCCCCGGGGCCACCCTGAGGCCTCAAGCAGGTCAATGACTCGAATTAAACGTAGGATGGACCTGCGACCCGGGGCTTGTCTTCGCTGGGACGCGGCGGCAGGTGGCCGGGAGCAGGCTCGCGTCCCGCTGGAGACCGGCTGCTGCTCTGCTGGAGGTCGCGCCCTGACCCTGAGTATTGCGTGAACCGAGTTCGGGAAGTTCCTTGGCAGGAGGGATGCGGGGGAGCTGAGACAGCTGCACAAGCTGGCGGAGCCGCTCGCAGCCTCGCTCGCAAGGTCACCAGGGCAAAAGCCCCAGGTGCCCAGCGACAGGCAAGACTGGGGCCTGAACGCGCCCCGCGTGCCCTTTCCTCCCCAGCACGTCACGGGTCATGTGGCGTGGGCCCGTGACCTTCCACACGGCCGGTTGTGCGGTTCGTGTCCTCGCCTGACCTTTGCCCCTGAGAGGGGACCTCTGGCCTCAGCTGTTTCAGCTCCAGGCCCTGAAACGCAGCAGGTGCCGCCAGGACCAGCTGCTCTGACCGGTCACCTCCTGCCCTGGCGCTGACCGCTCGGTGGGGCCCGGGGCCTGAAAGGACACAGCTGGAGAACCGATGAGTAGCCCACGGAGGTGTCCCCAGAGACCTCCCCGAGGGGCCAGGCCAGCACCCTCCCCCCGGGAAGCACACCGGCCTTTCCCACGGGCTCCGCTGCCCCGCAGGCCTGCGTCTCCTGACCTGAAGGGCGCCGTCCCCGAGGCCCCCTTTCCTCGGGGCGGGCGGGGTGGGGGTGTCCTGCCCCACAGACAAGCCGTGGAGCGGGCCGGGCCAGCACTGGCTCGCCCAGAGAGCCGCCGACCTCCACGGCCCAGGTCCGAACAGCCGGGGCTGTGTCTCTGCCCTCTGCCATCTCGAGAGGACAGTAGTAAAAACAACCCCGGAAAAAGGCACAGGTGCCCGCGGTGATGAACGCCCAGGGGACCCGGGACGCAGTGCCAGCTCACCTGCTCCCCTCCCCAGCCAGGCGCCAGGTGTCCCGGGGCCCCTCGTCCCCTCGCTCCACCAGAGGGGCCGCCAGCACCCGCCCGCTTCCCGGGCACCTCGGGGCACCCACCGCGCCTCCCCGCCTGCCGCCCGCCCCCTCGGAGGAAGCTGAGCTGAGCGTGCCACGCGGCGCCGCCAGGGCCCCTCAGAGCGGGTGGCGAGGGGCAGGTCTGGCGTCGTGTGTTTCCCTGACCATCTCAGTGACGTCGGCTCCTCGTTGGCTGGACTGAGAAAAAGCCTGACGTTTAAAAGCCGTTGGCAGAGGCGGGCGAGAGCACCCCCCTCCCCTGCCCCGTTCTCGTAGGAACTAAGGGGAGGGGCGGGGTGGTTCCTCAGCTGTGCGTCCAGAGGCAGGCCCCCAGCCGCCAAGTTCACACCCGGGGACAGACGGCCAGAAACAGGAAGCTCCCTGGACCGCGGCCGCCGCAGGTCGGAGCTCGGGCTCCCTGCAGCCTTGCCCTGGCCCGGCCGGCCCCTCTCAGCCTCCGGGCCCACCCTGGGCCCTGGCCCCGCAGGGCTCCCCCGCCCCCCGCCCGACATCCGATCAAATCCGACCCCCGTCGAGGGCCCTGCAGAGTCCGTCTGGCAAGCAGGCCCCTGGCCCTGGGCCTCCTCCCGTCTGTGGCCGCGGCCGCCCTGCCGCGCACCGGCTCCTGGTCCTTACTCTGCCTGTGCCTGCCCCATGCCCACTGCGCCGGCCCTGGCCCTCCCTCGCCCCCCCAACCCCCATCAAACCTGCCTTGCTGCCCTTCTGCAAGGGTCAGGAATGATGTTTCCCTTAACAACCGCGGCAAGATGAAAGGTTTTTAGAAAGAAAAATATTTGTCAGAAGAACACATCTTCTTAGGGCAGCCCTTGTGTGTACGAGTATCTGTGGTGTCGGTTTCTCTCCCCAAAAAGCCCACCAGAACCACAGATCGCGGGGCCTGTGGGTGGGACCAGCTGCTGCGGAGGCTCGAACGGGGGTCCTGACTCTCCTTCTCCCCGGGGCTGGGGGCTTTGCTCCCGGCTGGGACCTTTCGAGGGTCGATGGACCTCTCTGAGCCACAATGTGACTGACGCCACTGGCCTCCCAAGTCTCTCCCAGCATCGAGCAGCTTAGCTGAGGGGCGGGGGTTCTCTGGCTCGACCCCAGGACCCGGGAACTAAAGGCTGCAATGACCTCGGAATTCGAAGAATCCCTGACTCTCAGTTGGCCCCATTAGCTCAACAACCAGGTTTTAAAAAAAGAAATGCCTTGATAAGATCAGGGTTAGCTGCAGGGTCACAGAACCCAGCCCCATGGGGGAGGCGGGGGCGGCGGGGGGGGGGGCGCTGCTGGGCCAGGCAGGCCCCACAGCTGGTGGGGGCGGGGCCGGGGGAGCCACCCAGCTGGCAGCCACCTGCCGCGCCCACAACAGAGGGGCTGAGTCGAGCAGGGGCTGAGAGGCCTGCCGCTCTGGTTACTGTCTGCAGCTCCGCGGAGAGGCTGTGCTCCGGAGGCTGACCCCCCGGACAGGCCGGTCCAGTTCCGCCCCCGCCCCCGCGGCCCCCGCCGTCCGGCCGGGCCATGCAGCCGGGAAGGCGGGACCTGCAGGGCAACTCTGAGAGGTGCCTGATTCATCCCCGCAGGGCGGCGCCCGGACTCACCGCTCAGCCCAGGCACGGCTCCAGGAGGCGCCTCGCCCCCCACCCAGCGCAAAACAGAGCAACCAGAACGTGGTTCCTAAATCAAACGTACAGGCACGTAAAGCAAAACGAACGTGTTGCGAAACGTCGGGTCGAACGGCGCAGGGTGGGCAAGTCCCGGAGGGGAGCCCGAAGCGACAGGTGGCGGAATCGCCGAGGAAGCTTACCTACCGGAGAGTTTTCTTTCCCACGTTCGTCCTGGGCAACAGCAGGAGCTCCGACTCAGAGGCGAGGATGTGAAACCACAGATCAGCTGATGAGGAACCTCCAGGCCTCCTTGTCCCTCCCCTCAGAGCGGCTGGGCCGAGACAGTGCCAGCCCCAAGGGGCCAAGACGCCGCACCCGGCAGCCGGCCGCCGTGGGCAGCCCTCCCCGCCGTCGGCTCAGGCCCCACGGACCCAGGCGGCTCTAACCAGCGCTCGGCCGGCGCGGAGGGCACGGCCAGCACGCTCTGAGTCACTCACCACGGGGAAGGCGTGACCCCGTCCCACAGGACGCCCACGGGCGCGGACGTCCCGTCATACCCGACGTGGGGCTGAGGAATGGGGCCCTGCTAACACCCAGGGGCAAACCTGCCCCGGTAAATGGGGCCACCAGGCGTGACGAACAGGCAGGTCCGGGCCAGCGGAAAGGCCACCGGCAGCGGGGACTCCCCTGCGCGCTGCCT